TACCAGAAATTGGGAGGAAGAGGAGCAAGCCAGGCAGCAGAAGCAATGTAAAGACAAGATGGCAGGCCAATTAGTGGCTGCTTTACACAGTGATCTGCCATCAAGGAGACCCAACAGGCCAGTCCGCTGCAGTGGCTTTCAATGTGGAAAGCCTGGGCTTCAGCGGAAATCAGCTTATGAAGAGCCCTGGCAGCTCTGCCAGCCAAGAGCTGGGTCACTGGAAACGGAAGTGCCCTGGAGTCGAAGGACGCCCAGGACAGAGCATGAGACCCCGCTAGCTTTAAACTGAAATTTAGCCCTTCACTCAGCCCAGCTTCCAAAGTAATCCCTGCTGCTGAGGGGATGGCCAAGGAGGGTCAGTAGCATTGCAGGCAGAACTGTAAATTTCCTTTTAGAGATGCCACCTGCCTTCTGTTCAGGCCAGCTCTCCTCCCAGGCCAGCTCAATGACTGAAGTCAACAGCGTACCTTCCCTAAGGAGTTTCACGCCTCCCTCTCTTCCAGCAGGTCTGGGCCTCATATCCAGCCAGGCTTTAAAGCCCACCTGATTATTATCAAGCTCCTTCTGTCAGTTTCTATTTGCCTCTCAATGGGAAAACTTCCTCACGGTTTAGACAGCTCTTTTCTTAGGTCCTCTAATAATGACACTGTCCTTTGTTTTAGACCCTGGGAGTTTAATCTGCTTGTTAGATTCATTTTCTCCAGATTTGAAATTCTAGATGGCTACATACATGAAACCTCAGATGGAAGCAGTTTTTGCAAGTTGGCACAGTGTCCCCCAACTGCTGCTGGAATCCTATCTTGACTGCACTCCACCCCTACTCAGCTTGAAGAAGCCACAGCGGTCATCATCCCATACTCCTAACAAAAGTTAGGGTCCCTTCTTCTGAGGGAGGGAAAATGGAGGTTCAGACGGGTTAGTGGGCAGTCAGGGTGGTCCTGGTGGAAATCTAGAGTCCAAAGGGCTTGCTTTCCCTGGGGTAGTCTTTAGTAAGGTCAAAGTGCCTGCCCATTCCTTGGATGTTTCCAGTCTTATCAGAACAGCAAGGGAGTGGAGATTCCTTCTGAGCTCCCAGTTTACTGTAAACAAATTAGGTATCCCACCATTCTGATGGCTCTTTTCGTTTTATCACAAGCAAGCCAGACAGGTCTTTTGATGGGCTTTGTCCCTGCCTTGTAACTGAATGTCAAGTTTTATTCCCCCAAACTGTGCTTAAAAACCCCAATGCCACCACCTCTTTGGGTTTTGCCTCTCATGGAGCTCCCCCCCGCCACCACCACCACATGCCACTCTGGCTGGAAGTCTTTGACACTAATAAATCTTGCTTGTAAATCTAAAAATATATAAATAAATAAAATCCGAAATTCAAAGTATGGTGTCTTCTGAATGGACATTGCTTTTGCACCATTGGGAAAAAAGTCTGCACTGACTCTGTATCAATTAGGTATTAAAGCAGGACCAGTGGAAAGCAGCTGGGAATGCTTCCTCCTGCAGACTCCCCTTCCGCTCCCTTCTCCAGTCTGTTCTCATCCAATCACTCCACTCATAATCCTACTTCATGATCTCCGTCCTACCAATACACCAGAATGGCCTGTTTTGCTGGAAGCAATCACCAAGTGATTTGCACAGAGTCAAAGAATACATTTGCAGAATTTCAGTCATGAGAAAGTTTCCAGGACCAGCTGCTGCAGCAATTACAGCGCTAGATATGCAAATAGTGTCCATAGCACCTGAATGAGGACATCTCAGTAGCAGCTGCCCACTTAGCCTCACTCAGCTTTGCTGGAGATTAAGCCAGCCCCATTCTAGATATTTCTAAAATAAACTGTGCTGAAGGTAGAAGCCTATACTTTGGAAATCATCGGATTATCTTAGAATCTAAGAGGCATTTAGCCAGGAATGTGCTCCAAGTGAAAAGACGATTTTCCTTTAACATAAACAGTTTGCAACAACGCTTCATTATTAACCAGCTTACTATGTCTGCTGCTTCAATAACTAGACTGTCTGAAAATGAGTTCTTTCAAAGTCTTGGAAAATGAGGATTGAAGACGTAGACATCACCCGTTAGGCTGAACAAGTAAGAAACCGGGGTCCTCTCTGACCCTGCCCTCCCTCCTTCCAATCCACATAATGCTGGTTTCTTTCTTCCTAACTATTCCTCAAACCAGTTCGTTTTTCTCCGCTTCACGTGTCTTTCCTGTGTCTTCCATGTGTCCCTCCCACCCACAGACGCTCCCTCTAGTCACCAGAAGGGGCGGAGTGCTCAAGGGCAGCAGGAGAGGTAGGCAGAGACTTCGGCTGCATCTTCGCTCTGAAAGTTACAGGAGCTGAGTGGGAACGGGGTCACTGCGGAATCAGCTTTGCTACTCATTACCCATTTTTCTGTGGACCCGGAATTTCTGTCCTTGCATGTTTCCTTTCTGTAGAACCAGCAAGAGAACACTAACCACCTCATGGGACTGCTGTGCCAATGAATGAGTCAATATATGTGAGGCAGGGGTGGGCGTTTGGCCTGGCAGTTAAGAGATGCCAATTAGCACACCCACGTGCCCTATCAGAGCACCTGGGGCTGATCCCTGCCTGTGGCTCCTGATTTACAGCTGCTCACTAATGCAGACCCTGGGAGGCAACAGTGATGGCTGGAGTAATTGAGTTCCTGCCACCCACTTGGGAAATCTGCCTGCGTTCCTGGCTCCCAGCTTTCATCTGCGTAGCCGCTGGAGTCCTTTGGGGCACAAACCACTGGAGGGGAGCTCTTCCCTTGTCCACATGTCCCTCTCTCTCTTTGCCTTTCGTATAAAATAAACAAATACATTTTATACAAAATAATTTCATATAAAATAAACAAATACATATGTGTCACACAAATCAGAGGTAGGGACATAATAAATAAGCTGAACTACTTCGATTATTGCCTGCGAGGCCTAATTTTTCCAGGTTCTCACTGCAATATGCAACCCTCTTTTCTAGCATTCGGGACATTGGCAATTTTAGGTTTTATTTATCAAGTAACTGTCAAATTAATGTCTCTTCCTCTACCATAGACTTTATCAAGGAAAAATCAAGTCTGTTTTTGCTCTGCCTAGCACAGTGCTTGGCAGAGGAGAACGTGGGAATATTTGTTAAATAAATCAAGCAAAGCAGTGACACCAGGGGTTCTCAATCTGCAGCTTCAGATGTTTCCAGAATTTGCATGAATGTTTCCCGTCTGCTTTAGGGCTTCTCCAATTTTGCATTGAATAATACAATCAGCAAGGACACTTTCAAATATATCCATGCCAAAGCTCCAGAGATGCCAATATCATTGGGGTCATCCAGGGCTGGCATTTAAGAATCTCCAAATTTCTCATCTGCAAGTCAGGCTGGACAGCTCCAGTGTTGTTCCTACCACCTTCAGTTCAGCTGTGAAGGCCTCCAACCCAACCTCTGCTTTTGAACTTGGCCAAAAACAAAGATCCTTTGCTTGGTCCCAAGCTCACTCAGGCTTCTGAACCTTCTGAACCTTCTCCTGGGCCCATCTGTGCCTGTTAAACCCCGTTTTGGCAGAGAAGCCTGCTAAGTGAGTGCAGCCAGAACCCAGTATCTGGTCAGCTTCCCCACCATCCACCATCCCCCAGCTGACTTCTGATGGCCTTGGCCTGTGTTCAGTAGAATCCTAATAGGTCAAATCATTCCCCACTCACCCCATGCTGTGTTTGGGGTTGAGCCCACCGCCCAGCTCCAGTTGCTCTTGTCCCCACACCGCTCATGATGGCTCTGAACTAAGTCTTCCCTACCAAGCTTCAATAACAAGCATTGAGCACCCTTTTTAACACCACCTACCCCCACCCTTAAATTCTCCATTCCTATTTAGATGATAGAAAAGGAATCCATTGGAAGCAGCAGCTTCATGGGCAGGATCTTGGCGGATGGACTGGAGGAGTATGGTTCCTGCTCCCGGCAACAAACCTGTTGGGTGACTTCGGGCCCACGCACCCTCACAGCTCCTCTCATTAGGGCACTTCCGCCCCTAGGGGGCGAGCGCACAGGGTCAGGAACCGCCCCCCCCCACCCCAATACGGGCTTTTATTTCTGTTAGAAGGCACCCCAGAATTTCCTACAGTGAGGAAAGGAGGCGAGGATTGCTTAAAAAGCTCAACTCCGCAGCCCACCTCTCCCTGGCGCCGCTCCCACGGCCGAGCCCCGAATTGATTTCCTTCCTACCCCCGCCTCCAGCTCCTCGTCCGTCCACCTCGGCCGCTTTCCACCGTCCCTTCGCCCTCACTCTCAAACGATTCCATCCACTTAGTCCCCCACACCCGCTCCAAGTGTGACCCCTAGATCGGAGACTGCCCCTCGCGAAGCCACCGCGGGCTGCTCCAGACCCGGGCCAAGTACCCCACGCGCGCTTGGGGAAACAGAGGTCGCTCCCGGGTCGGTCCACACCGCAGCAAACGCAGGCACAACGTGTTGATCCGCCGGGGGTCTTGGGGGCGGTGACGCTACCCTCGCCTCCGAAGGCCAGTCCCGGCGCAGGAAGCCCCTCGCGCGGCCGGGAGACCGGGGCCCCACGGAGCCACCACCTCTGGGCGCGTCCCGCTCACCCGCCAACTTGCGAGATGAGGAGCGCGAGCCCACGGCCCCCGGCGACGGGAGTCGCGCGCTCTCCCTCCCCAGTCCCCTGAGGCAAAGGGAAGGAAACCGATTCCGGACCTCGCACAACAGGTCCTGTGGGCACCTGCCAGGTTGGGGCCGTAGGGGCGACTGGCTGTGGAACGGGCTAGGGCCTTGCGCGGGAGCATTCCCTGCAGAGGGGCCTCTCCATTCACTGAGCCCCAGCCCCACAGCAAATCCCGAGTTTGGGGAGCAGGCATGATCCCGAAGGCGCGGACAGGCGCGGAGTTTCGGACGCGGGTGGCACCGATCCGTCCTTTCCGAGAGCGAAGTTAGCGGATGCAGGGAAAACGGCCCCTATGGGCTCTGCAGGACGTAACCCTCGGGGGCGACTGGCGACCACTCACCTTGTGCCTGCGCCTCCATGGTGGCCGACTTTCGAACTGCGCGCAGCGGGGACGCGAAGCCGATGGCAGCTGGAAAAGAGCTCAGGACGCAGCTGGCCCTGCCGCTGGCGCCCTCTCCAGGCACGCGTGTTGCAGTCGCGGCGTGGACGGATGTGTGACCGCGGACGGACCCCGCTGGCAGTTTCTGCTTACCTCCGCCCCTTCCAGTCCACCTGGCCTTCGCCACGCTGGAAAGCGCCACCTACCGGCCGCTCTGCACAGCAGGCGGAAGGCGTCCACCACCGACCCACGGGAAGTTGGCGCGGAGATGGGCTTGGTAGTGGTTAATGCCCTGGGAGGAAGGAAGGGGACCTGAGTTCACAACGCTGAATCCCTGCTCCTCTGGGAGATCGAATTAGGGGCTGCAAGCCTTGTTCCCAACACCTGGCAAGTGATCAATACATAACCTTGTTTTACATATAGATCCTTTTCCTTTTAACTACACCTTATTTGTGTATATCGTTTATTCATTGACATCGAGCTTGAGGTCAACGGCACTGTTAACTGTTACCAGAACAAAGGTTCAGCCTATTTAACATACACATTTTCTAATTAACGTCATAGTAATCTTGGACCGAACACTCGAGAGCACTACAGCATTATGCTTGGGGCCATTTTAAATAGCAAAATCCACACAAGTACTCACACACACCCCGGCTGGGAACGGGGAACTTGTTTGTAGCATGGGAGTTGAGACAAGAAGGCAGAGCCACCGTATTTGAGCTTAGTTGGAACCCCATGAATCTTTTGAACGCTCCATTCAAGTCCCCCAGTCACAGTGAAAGCACTAAGAGCATTGGTTTTAGTCTTACAGACATTTTAGTGTGGGGCCTGTGTTTGACGCAGTGGTTGCTATGCTGCTCCTGCTCGGCTTCTGGGGCAGCTTCCTGCTACCTGGGATACTTCCAGTCCTGGGGGAGATTTAGATTGAGTTCCAGGCTCCTGACTTTGGCCTAGCCCACACCTGGCTGTTGTGAGCATTTGGGAAGTAAACCAGAGGATGAAAAATCCTCTTCTATCTCTGCCTTTCAAACACACAAAAATAAAACAATAAAATTGGTGGGGAAGTGGATTTAAGAGACAAGTTTATTTTGGTGCAAAATTATTTTGAAACCCAACCAGAGATTTTTTTGTAACACATTTTCCATGAATATATTAATATATAATGTGACATATATTATGTGCTTTTATATTATCTATATATGTTAAACCAGAACCTGCAGGCTGTATTTGTAGGTTGATGGGGCAGTCATGTTTTCAGCAGAGACTAGAAAACCCCAGTCCTGTCTAAGACTTCCCTGGCTCTCCCTGCCCGAGACTGGCCACGTGATAAAGGAAGGCTTCTTTGAGGGTCTTTGCCTTACAGAATCTTGAAGGATGAAGGAAGCATGGCAAGGAACAAGAATTACCAGCTCAGGGCTGGGCAATGCGGCACAGCAGGTTAAGCCACTGCTTGGGACAGCCACATCCCATATCAGGACTGCTTCAAGCCCTGGCCCTTCTGCTTCCTACCGGCTTTGTGCTAATGCATCTGGGAAGACATATAGCATATAGAACTTCGTTCTGGATAGCCCATGTGCTTGGACCCTCGCCAACATCAGAGACCAGGTTAGAGTTCCTGGCTCCTGTCTTTGACCTAGCCTAGGCCTGGCTGTTGCGAACATTTGAGGAGTGAACTAGCAGGTGAAAGATCTCTCTCTTTCTCTCTCCTTCCTTTTCTCTTTGCCTTTCAAATGAATAAATAATGTATAGCAAAAAAGAATGATCAGCTCATATCTCACCTCAGCCCTTCTGTAGCTATGTGAGATCACCCCTTTTTCTCAACATCTACAAAAAAAAATCCTCTGTAAAATATGAGGGGTCTTCACAAAGCTTGTGGGAAATGTGTGTTATGAAACTATTCACGGATTTCAAAAATTTTTTGCGCCAAATTATCTATACTTTGATTCAATTGTTCTATGCATTTTTTTTTTGAAGTACCCTCATACAATGTAGTATTTGTCTACATTTGGTCTTCAATGGTTTACCACTTTTTGTGATTTTTTAAATTTTCTCTTTCTTTCTTGAAATAGGTGATAAATCTTGTCAGGGTTGTGTGTCAGTATTATATTAAGCCTCCCATAATTTCTGCCAAAGAACCTCATACAAATTCATAGCACAAGAAAGATATATTGAATAAACAATGAACTAAGCAGTAGGTTATATTTTATCCATGCTCCAGTTACTCTCAAAGTATAGACTAATAAACAATGAAGTCTCACATTTTCCCTTAAAAGATGAAATACTCATGATTTCCTGGTTCTTGTACAAACAAGTCAACATTTTTGATTGTGTTGAGGATGTCACCAATTTCTCTTTGGAACACCAAGCATAGGGCTTTTAAATTAGTTTTGGTGATAGTGACCAGGCATGCATGAAGTGACCCATGAGTAACTGAACCATTTCTATGGTCCTTGCAGTTGCCTAGAAATTAAACATCAGGTTAGCGTTGACCCTTGGCTGTTGAAATAAACTAAAAATAGTTCATGAGTTTCCAGTTTGAGTCATCTAACCTTCATCTACACTGACTCATTTTTCTGATTTGTAAATGTTAAGTCACTGCCCCTTTAGTGCCTGTTATCACTATTTATAATAATAATAAAATGTTGCTATTCATTCAGAGTTAATGAACATCTTCCATGTGCCAGGAGCTGTGCAAGATGCTAAGAACACGGCAAAGGGAGATGGCCATTTTTGTTCAGAAAGTTCATGATCTGATGACAAAAAAGAGAGGGAAATAAATTATTTTCAAAAGCAATGCAGTGTGGAAAGTGTGCCAGAGGTAAGCCCAGGCTGTGAGCACAGACCAACGCCTCCTCCCTCAGATTGGCAAGAGAAGATAAGGGAATGTTTCTCTGAGGATGTTTGCTGAGTCTGGAAGGATGAAGGAACTAGCCGGGTAAGTTGGGTTAGGCCCCACACAAGCGTTTAGCCAAGGGAAACTATTACTGAAGTGAATGTGTTATAAAAGGAAGGTTTAACTTTTGTATCCTTCCTTTTCCTGCTCACTTATAATGGTGAATTACCTTAAATTTTTTTGAAGATTCTTTATTTATTTATTTGAGAGGTAGAGTTATAGGCAAAGAGAAGGAAAGACAGAGAGAAAGGTCTTCCATTCACTGGTTCATTCCCTGTGGGGAGCAACTCGGACTAGACTAAGTTACCAGAATTAAGACTTATTCTATGCATCTGCTCTCCCACAATATGGCGCTGGGAGAAGAGTAAACAACTTCTACACAGCTGCCTCCAGTTCGACCAATAACCTGCAGGAGCTGATCCTGCTCCTGATTGGAGGAGAGCAGCATACTCGGCGTGTGGGTAGCAGAGTTGGGATTGGTGGAAGAGGACTATAAAGGAGGAGAGAGACAACATGCACCAGGAACATCTAAAGGGAACATCCGGATAACATCTGAGCAGCCCCCAAGAGAGCCGGCCGGCAGTGTGCCGCTCCCCCGTGGAAGTGGGGAAAGTGGCAGGGGGAGCCGCCCTTCCACGGAGGTGGAAGGGTCGGCAGCCAACCCGGGAAGGACCAGCAGCAAACCCGGGAAGGGCCGAGCAGACAAAAGAACAGCGCAGGGTTTAGTGTCATTCCTCCACGAATGGGGGAGCAACAATTCCCCAAATTGCCACAAAGACCAGAGCTGGGCCAATCCAAAGCCAGGAGCCTGGAGCTTCTTCTGGGTCTCCCATGTGGGTACAGGGGCCCAAGTACTTGGGCCATATTTTGCTGCTTACCCAGGCACATTAGCAGGGAGCTGGATCAGAAGTGGAGCAACCAGGACTCGAACCAGCTCCCATATGGGATGCTGGCACCAAAGATGGCAGCTTTTCCCACTACACCACAATGCTGGCCCCTTAAATTCTATAAAGTATAGTCGAACAGCCAACTTCACCCTCCTGTTCTTCATCTCTACAGCTACTCCTCAAGGGAAACAATGAGCTCGTGTTTGGCTGAATTAGTGACTTCTGGTTCACTCAAGAGCTGATCTTTCTGCAGAAGTGAGGATGCAGTAGACCAAAATTTGGTGTCGTCACCAAATGCCCAAAAGGATGGTGTTGTCAACAGTCCTCGTCTAAACCAGCTTCAAGTCCCCTGTAATGTTCTACTGTGTGGCCAGTACACAGAAAGGAGAGGCAAGGGTAGGAAAGGACAGAGAAAGTGCTGCTCTGATCATTGGACCTTACGAACACTCTGAAGGAGCCTGTGGGCTTTGTTGCTCCTTCAGATTCCCACTATGAACAGTATTCGCTGTGTAACCTAAAACAAGTTTCCTAGCCTCTCTCTTCCTGGATATGAACATTTTGTGGCAGAAAGCTATACAAGATATTAATTGATGTGCTCTTCCCCTCCTATCCTTTTGGGCATCCATGGTTTTGGAGTAGTGGTTCTTAGCTATCCCATGCATCATTACCACATGAGGGAGTTTTGAATTTAATTTGTTCGTAGAAAGCTGTCTGGGTAACATTGATGTGCCTCCAAGATCGAGAGTGAGTGTTTTAGGAACTGTCTACAGCAAAGATGAAGAATACTAAAATCTCAGCTTTTAGATTTAAGAGTTGCCACCCAAGTAAACAGAAAAAAATGGGGAAAAATAATGTGAGAAGACAGCCCTGTGGTCCCTAGCTCCAAGGGAGTTGGGATGGGAAGAGACATTGGCGAGGGCAGAGACATGTGAGAGTTTACACATGGATCTGTCTGCGTGTTTCACTCTTCCCCTCCCCACCCCACCAAAGCAAAGAGGACCGGCCCCCGCAGTTCTCTGTGGAACTCCAGTAGGTTTTGAGAAATGGTAGGGACAGGGTAATTGCTCACTTCGCTTTGAAGTTCCCCCTCTTTCAGTGGTGTACAACAGCATCTGAGAGTTCCTTTGAGTCCCATGTGAGGTGTGTGAGTTAGAGGAGAGATAGCCAGTTAGGGAGTCAGCACCCTTAGAAAGCTGCAGGATTCCACCTCTTGAGTCCATGGGAAGAAAGCAGTGCAACAGAGTCGTGCTTGGAGAGAGGAGGAGTGCACAAATGGAGAGCTAGTTGGTGTCTGTGTTGGTTGGACCTCTGCTCAGCCAGAGGACACACTGACCTCACTCTGCCCACATCAAACTACCAAGTAGGGCAAAAGGGATCGGGGAGACACAG